GCACCAGCAGCAGCTCCAACGCCCGGGTCCTCAGCACCAGCAGCAGCTCCAACTCCAGGGTCCGCAGCACCAGCAGCACCTCCAGAAGAAGCAGCACCTCCAGCAGCCCCAGCACCAGCAGCACCTCCAGCAGCACCAGCAGTACCACCAGCACCAGCAGCACCTCCAGCAGCGTCAGCAGCACCAGCAGCTCCAGCACCAGCAGTACCTCCAGCAGCGCCAGAAGCACCGCCAGCAGCAGAACCTCCAGTAGCTGGGTCCGCGACACTAGGAGCGCCACTCCGAAGACTGCAGCGCCGTGCGTACCACTCTCGGAGCCGCTGGGGAGAGGGCAGCTCCCACCTAGGAGGGGAAGTACTAGCACCAGCTCCAGCAGTACTCCTGGCTCCAGAAGCACCTCTCCTGAGGCTGCAGTACTGTAAGTACCACTCACGCAGCTGCTGTGAGGAGAGAGCTCCTCCAGGTGTAGCACTCCCAGGCTCAGCACCTCCAGACTCAGCACCCCCAGACTCAGCACCCGCAGGCTCCGCACCCCCAGGCTCAGCACCCCGAGGCTCCGCACCCCCAGGCTCAGCACCCCCAGACTCCGCAACCCCAGGCTCCGCACCCCCAGACTCCGCAACCCCAGGCTCCGCACCCCCAGGCTCCGCACCCCCAGGCTCCGCACGCTCAGGCTCAGCACCCTCAGGCTCAGTACCCCTAGCAGGACGAGAGTCGACAGCTACCTCGACAAGCTCAACCGGGTCTACCTGGGACACACCTGAGGGAGCGGCACCCTGAGGGGGGAGGGGGTCTACCACAGCAGCACCTGGCGCGAGGAAGAGAGGCGGGGGGGGGAGCGGGGCAGTGCGGTAGGGGAAGAGGCGGTAGTAGGGGACGGACTCGTCGAAAGTGACGTCCTGAGAAGGCAGGACACGGCGCGAGGTGGGGTGGTAAAACTGCCAACCAGACGCATCCGGGACAAAGCCAAGGAAGACACAAGGAACAGCGCGGGAGGAGAGCTTGTCCGCGGACGTATCGCGAACAAAGGCTCGAGATCCCCAGACCCGAAAGCGTGACGCATCGCCAACCTCTCCCGTCCAACGCAGTGTCGGCGAAGTCTCCGGAATGGAGACACGGGGCCAGAGGTTGAGCTGATGCGCAGCGTATCGGACTGCAAACGGCCACAGAAAGTGGGGGGCAGCCGCATGGATCAAGGAGGTACGAGCGACCTCCATGACCAAGCCAATGCGGCGCTCAGCAACCCCATTCTGCTGTGGAGAGGCCGGAAGCGTGAACGACTGGTGGATGCCGTGCTCCGCACAGTAGGCTGCCAAGAGGTCGGAGGAGAACTCACCACCTCTGTCAGAGTGCAAGCGCAGGACAGGAAAGTCCGAGTGGAAACGCTCGCTGAGCTGGAGACGAGAAGCGCTGATCCAAGGGATCAAAACATTAGGGACCTCACCCTTGGTGCGCAAGGGGAAGACCGTGGTGTAGCGCGAGTAGTCGTCAACAACTATCAGGAAGTACCTCTCCTGACCCTGACCACGGACGCGGGCTGGGCCCCACACGTCCATGTGGAGCGTCTGCAAGGGAGCAGTCGTCGGGGGAAACGAGGAGGAGTGAGGAGCGGCGCGCTGCCGCCCCTCGACACAGGGAAGACAGGGAGGAGCAGGCGAGGGTGGGAGGGGAGGGAGAACCCTGGGAAGACCAGAGACAAGGTACCGTTTGTGCATGGCACGAAGGCGCTGCACGGACGGGTGACCAAGTCGGTGGTGCCAGAGGACGGTCTCGTGCGCCAGAGAGCGACACGAGCAGGGGGCCGACAGCTGACCTGACGCAGACGCAGACGCAGCTACCTGAGGGGACTCAGTGGTCAGTGTGTACAGGTCCGACCCCGGCTGCCGAGTGAAGGTAGCCAGGTGACGGCCCGTCCGAGCACACGTGCAGTGTGTCACGCGCTCGTAGGCAGGGGTGAACTGGTGAACACCCCCGTCCTGGAGCGCACAACCCGCCACCAAGTTCGTAGAGAACGAGGGGAGGTGGAGACCTGACAGTGTGCACGACGGGACCGCAGGACAAGGAAGGACAGTGGAGGAGGTCGCAATGACCGGACCATCAGAGGGGTCAGCGAGGGAGACAGCAACTGGCCGAGCAAGCGGCTCAAGGGCAGTGCGGTCACGAAAGAAACAGCGAGAAGCACCTGAGTCCAGAGTGAAGGTGTGCAGTGCCTCAGTCGACTCAGTACCAGGGGGCACAGACTCACTAGCACCTAGAGCAGCAGCCTCACCAGCACCTAGGGCAACAGACGCACTAGCACCTAGAGCTGCAGCCTCACTCACAGGACACGGCAGCTGCACCTGTCCACTACCAGAAGCTCCCGAACGACGCACTCCAGAGCGACTACCACTACGGCCACCCCGACAGCCCCAACTGGCGTACCACTCACGAAGCTGCTGGGGCGAAAGAGGACACGGCAGCTGCACCTGTCCACTACCAGAAGCTCCCGACCGACCCACTCCAGAGCGACTACCACGACGGCCACCCCGACAGCCCCAACTAGCGTACCACGCACGAAGCTGCTGGGGCGAAAGAGGACACGGCAGCTGCACCTGTCCACTACCAGAAGCTCCCGACCGACCCACTCCAGAGCGACTACCACTACGGCCACCCCGACAGCCCCAACTAGCGTACCACTCACGAAGCTGCTGGGGCGTGAGGGACTCACGCGCACGGCCCTGGAGCTGCATCTGGCCACGCCAGGAGCAGCAGTAGCAGCAGTAGCGGCAGTAACAGCAATGCTCACCAGTGGTCGGCGCGGCAGGCGCAAGACGGTGGCGACAGCGGGGCCGCTACAACTGCAGGGCGGGGCTGGGCCACAGCAGGGAGCTCCGCGGCAGCTGCTGCAGGGCGGGGCCGGGCCGCGACGGCAGCTGCTCCAGGTGCCAGGGGCGGCTGCTGCAGTGGCGGCTGCTCCAGGGGCCAGGGGCGGCTGCTGCAGCGGCGGTTGCTCTAGGGGCCAGGGGCGGCTGCTGCAGGGGCGGCTGCTCCAGGGGCGAGGGGCGGCTCCTGCAGTGGCGGCTGCTCCAGTGGCCAGGGGCGGCTGCTGCAGGGGCTGCTGCTCCAGGAGCCAGGGGCGGCTGCTGCAGGGGCGGCTGCTCCAGAGGCCAGGCGCGGATTAGGTCAGGGCGACGCGGCGAGCAGGGGCGACGCCGCGGGCAGGTGACGACGCCGCGAGCAGGGCGACGCGGCGGGCAGGTGGCGACGCCGCGGGCAGGGCGACGCGGCGAGCAGGTGACGACGCCGCGAGCAGGGCGACGCGGCGGGCAGGGCGACGCGGCGAGCAGGTGACGACGCCGCGAGTAGGGCGACGCCGCGAGCAGTGCGACGCGGCGAGCAGGTGACGACGCCTCGGGCAGGCGACGACGCCGCGGGCAGGCGACGACGCCGCGGGCAGGCGACGACGCCGCGGGCAGGCGACGACGCCGCGGGCAGGCGACGACGCCGCGGGCAGGGGCTACGTCGCGGGCAGGTGACGACGCCGCGGGCAGGCGGCGACGCCGCGGGCAGGGCGACGCGGCGGGCGGCGAGAGCCTGCAGGGGCGGCGCGCGGTCGGGCAGAGGCTGCGCGCGGGCCTGACGAGCCTGCAGGGTCGGCTCTCGGGCCTGACGGGCCTGCAGAGGCGGCTCGGGGGGGGCCTGACGGGTCTGCAGAGGCGGCTCGGGGGCCTGACGGACCTGCAGGGGCGGCTCGAGGGCCGTACTAGCTTGTAGGAGGCAGTGCGAGGGCTACACGACGGCACTCGGGCAGACCGAAGGGCGGGGCGCGCGAGGGCGCACGAGTAGAGAAAGGCGCACGAGGGCGCACGAGGGCGCACGAGGGCGCACGAGGGCGCACGAGGGCGCACGAGGGCGCACGAAGGCGCACTAGCAGAGAAAGGCGCACGAGGGCGCACGTAAGGTAGGGCGCACGAGGGCGCTTCTAGCGGAATAGTGGGCCCATAGTAGAAAGCGGTCCTAGGTAGCAACCTAGGCTCGTGATACCATGTTAGAACCTAGAATAGAACGAGAATGGGTGAAACTAGGTAGGAGGGGGATACAAGTAGGAAACCCTAACAAAGTTGTACCCCCTAAGGCTAAACCCACTATAGCCTACACAATATAAACATATAATGTTTGACATCCACTGGGTACCCTCAAGAAACGACTCAGTGAAGCCAGGTGTGCGGCGCAGCCAGATCTCCTCGTGAAGGCTGCCCTACAAGAAAGCTGTGGAAAATTCGAGGGAGTGCAGCTCGTAGTCACGATGTGCTGCAACGTGCAGTAACACCCGAAGATTGGTCATCTTCGGGGTGGGGGAGAAGGTCTGGAAGAAGTCGACCCCCTGTCGCTGACTGAAGCCTCGAGCAACGTAACGTGCCTTGAAGGCAGGCGGAGAACCCGGCGGTCGCTTCACTCTGAAAATCCACATGCCATCGACTATGTTCGCCCCAGGAGGGGGAACCTCGTCGACGTAGGTGCCTGTGGATTTCCAGGAAGCCATCTCTGCATCCATGGTTGTCTGCCACTTATGGAGTACTCACCCGTGATCGCCTCTGCGTAAGAGCGCAGGGTGGGGATGTCCAGTGCATCCGGGTCTCCCTCAGGGCAAAGCAACATGGACGCGAAACAGGGTAAAACGGTCGCGAGACATTCGAGCTCAAATTGCCTGTCCTCAAGGACGTCAACGCCAAGGGCAAGCTCACCCCCTACAGACGGAGGATAGACAGACTCAGACTTAGTAACAAGACTCGCGACGTAGTCGAGACGACGGGTAACAGCAAAGTCGACTAGCTCAGTGACTAGGGCAAACGCAGCAGTAGACTCAAAGGAAGGGTCAGTGACAACAGTAGCGAGGAGACGAGTGATAGTAGGACTAGCAGCACGAGCAAGGTCGGACTCAGGGTTAGGAACGTCAGGAACAGAGGACGCCAGAGGAGACGGCAGAGCAACACACTGTGGAACAGAGGAAGGACGAAGTGTCATAGTGTGCGTGCCGGGGACAGTTGGAGGATGAGAACGACGAGCATGACTGACAGTCGAACGGGGGAGGCAGGACGAGACTCAGGCTCACGACGCTCTGCCAGGGAGCCTGTCTGTGCAGGGTAGGGAGAAGGAGCAGGCCGTGGAGAGCCAGGCAGTAACTGCGGCTGTGACTGGTCAGGCGGAGGACACAGGAGAGGCAGAGTAAGGCCAGTGGAAGACGGAAGACAAAGAACCTGACGAAGTGCCGAGTCAGACGGTAGAAAAACGGTCGGCGCAGCGCAGTACCCGTACCGTCAGCAGCTCCAGCACCTCCAGCACCTCCACCTCTAGCAACTCCAGTACCTCCAATACCACCACCTCCAGAACCTCCAGTACCTCCAGCTCCAGCACCTCCAGCACCAGCAGCTCCAGTACCTCCAGCACCTCCAGCTCTAGCACCACCAGCACCAGCAGCTCCAGTACCTCCAGCACCTCCAGCTCTAGCACCTCCAGCACCAGCAGCTCCAGCACCTCCAGCACCAGCAGCCCCAGTACCTCCAGCACCAGCAGCTCCAGTACCTCCAGCACCTCCAGCTCTAGCACTTCCAGCACTAGCACGGCTAGCTCCACCACCAGGGCTGCCTCACCGGACAACCCACTCGCGGATCCGGCTCGAGCGAGAGAGTCTCTTGCCGACGTGCACCAGTACCGCCAACACTAGCGTCTCTAGCACCAGGACCTCCAGCACCTCCAACTCCAGTATCACCAGCACCAGCACCTCCAGCACCTCCAACTGCAGCACCTCCAGCTTCTCCTCTACCCGTAGGACACTCAGCACCCCCCAGAACCAGCACCCCCAGAGTCTGCACCCCCAGTGTCACCACCTCCAGCAGCACCAGAGTCCACAGCGACTGGCTGCAGGGGCGGTGAAGACGGCCGAGGCGGAAACCCAAGAGGGGCCGCCAAGCGCGCTGAGCGGCGAGGGGCCACAGTGTCGGCAACAGTCGGGTCACCCCCCTCAGCTGGGCCAGAGGTGTCAGAGGAGCCCTCTTAAGGCTCAACCAAGGGGGGTGGGTCTACCTGAGACACACCTGAGGGAGCAGGACCCTGTGGGGGGAGGGGGGCTACCGGGGGGGGGGGGGGGGGGGTCGGGTACCAGGAAGAGAGGCGGGAGGGGCACGGGGGAACTGCGGTGGGGGTGGATACGGTAGAAGCAGACAGTCTCGTCAAAGGTGACGTCCTGGGAGGAGAGGACACGACGAGAACCCGGGTGGTAAAACTGCCAGGGCGGGGCGTCGCTAGGGAAGCCAAGGAAGACGCATCGAAGAGTGCGAGGAGAGAGCTTGCCCGCGGGAAGATCGCGGACAAGAGCAAGGGAACCCCAGACCTGAAACACCGACCGTCACCAACCCCTCCCGTCCACCGCAGAGTAGGGGAGGTCTCCGTGTGGGAGACACGGGGCCAGAGGTTGAGCTGCTCAGCGGCGTATCGGACCGCAAACGGCCACAGAAAATGGGGAGCAGCCGCATGGACGATGGAGGTGCGAGCAACCTCCATGACCAAGCCAATGCGACGCTCTGCAATCCCATTCTGCTGCGGAGAGGCCGGAAGCTTGAACGACTGGCGGATGCCCTCAGCACCACAAAAGTCCTCGAGGAGGCGGGAGCAAAACTCACCACCTCGGTCAGAGTGCAGCCGCAGGACCAGGAGGTCCTGCCGGAACCGAGCGCTGAGCTGGCGACGGACAGCACGGATCCAGCGGATCAACACACTGCGGACATCCGCCTTGCTCTGAAAGGGGAAGACCGTGGTGTAGCGCGTGTAGTCGTCAACAACCAGCAAAAAGTAGCGCTCTCCGCCCTGTCCAGTGACGCGGGCTGGACTCCACACGTCCATGTGGAGGGTCTGCAGAGGAGTTGTGGTCGGAGGAAACGAGGAGGAGTGAGGAGCGGCGCGCTGCCGCCCCTCAACGCAGGGAAGGCACGGCGGCGCAAGCGACCTCGGGAGTGGGAGCAAGGACCTAGGGAGGCTAGACACAAGGAGACGGGAGTGCATGCCACGCAGGCGTGGCAAGGAGGGGTGAACAAGACAGTGGTGCCAGAGGAGAGTCCCGTGCGTGAGGAGACGACACGAACAAGACGCAGCTACCTCAACCGACGCAGCTACCTGACCTGCCACCTGTCCAGACTCAGTGGTCAGTGTGTACAGACCAGACACGGGCCTACGAGTGAACGTGGCGAGGTGCTCGCCAGTGCGTGAGTCTGTACAGATCGCCATGAGCTCTCCCCCAGGCTGGGTAACAGTGACAAACTGGTCCTGTAGAACAGCTGTAGCCACCAAGTTCGTAGCGAACGAGGGGAGGTGTAAACCTGTGAGGGAGCCTGTGGGACACGGGAGAACAGTGGAGCTACGTGCAACAACTGGGCCACGAGAGGGGTCGGCCAGAGTGACAGAGACAGGGGCTGTGAGCGGTGTGACTGTGGTGCAGTCGCGGAAGAAGCAGCGAGACGCGCCTGAGTCGAGTAGAAACGTGTGCAAGGCCTCCTCAGACTCTGCACCTGTGCTAGCTGAGTCACAAGCACCTAGACTAGTAGCCTCTACACCACCAGGTGCCTCTCCACCCCCAGCACTAGTACCCCAAGCTCCGCCACCGGGGCTGCCCCACCGGACAGCCCACTCACGAAGCTGCTGCGGCGAGAGGGTCTCCGGCGGACGCTGCTGCCGCTGCTGTCCACCCCCAGAACCTCCGCGTCCACCAACGGAACTACCAGTAGGAGTAGACTCACAGGTACCTCCAGTAGTAGCACCACAGGCTCCACCACCGGGGCTGCCCCACCGGACAGCCCACTCGCGAAGCTGCTGCGACGAGAGCGTCTCCTGCCGACGAGTACGAGCAACGCGAGCACCAGCACCTCTAGCTCTAGCACGGCTAGCTCCGCCACCAGGTCTGCCCCTCCAAATAGCCCACTCGCGAAGCTGCTGCGGCGAGAGAGACTCCTGCACACTCGGCTGCCGCTGACGTAGGACAGCGGTAGTGGCCATGGCAGGCAGTGGCAGTAGTAGTAGGAGTGGTGGTGCCAGTAGGACGAGAGCGGGCTAAGGGCGCTCGACGGGCTACTGGAGGGCAGCAGTAGATGCGCGCCACGGGCAGAAAACGGCCACGTCCAAAGCAGCAGGGCGCATTGGCTGCAGGGCGCGTGAGCTGTGGGACGGCGCGCGGGCTGAAGGGCACGGTAGCTCGCGGGCTGCAGGGGAGGGCGGCGCGCGGGCTGCAGGGCAGGGCGGCGCGCAGGATGCAGGGCAGGGCGGCGCGCGTGCTGCAGGGCAGGGCGGCGCGCGGGCTGCAGGGCAGGGCGGCGCGCGGGCTGCAGGGCAGGGCAGCAAGCGGGCAGAGCGCAGGGCAGGGCAGAGCGCGTGGGGTAGCGCGTGCAGGGCAGCGTGACGGACGCTGTTCGGGCAGTACGAAAGATTAAAGGTGGGCCCTAACGGAGCGGTCCTACGGAGGGACCTGCTCTGATATCATGTCAGAAATAACGGGCAAGAATGGGTGACTAGAAAGGATGGATGAGTACAAGTAGGGCATGACACAATGGCGTGACAAAGTCGATATAGCAAGAACACAAGACACATAGCAACCTAGAAAGTCGGCCTCCAGAGCAGAACAAAGGCGGCTGGCCAACGCCGCAAGATAGTGTCAGAAATAACGGGCAAGAATGGGTGACTAGAAAGGATGGATGAGTACAAGTAGGGCAAGGTCTAACCCTAAAGTGCTGTACTCAGTAGAGGCTACCCCACTACAGCCTACAACATAGAAACATAGTTTGACAGATAGCGGCACGCCAACGTAGCTGGAAGGCGGCTTTCCAGCACTGCAACAAGGTGGCTTGCCAACGTCGCGCGAGGGCGACTTGCCAACGCTGCAGCAATGTGGCCTGCCAGCTTGCACCCGTTGGTGACTATATGCGCACCTACCAAGTAGGTGCAGGTACGGTTGCGTGCACGTCGTGCACCATCACACACATTCCGCAGGTGCCAGGTTGTCGAGCACATGATGCTCGACCCGCACGTCAACTTCGTCAAAATCGTATGGGGCGAAGTTCTTGCTCCCCTCAGAACTTCGCCGACCAGTTACCAGGTCGACCACAAGGAGCCGCTACGTCTGTGCCGACTTCGATGTTGGTCGGTGCCATGTCGACGAGTACTGCCGTTGACCACCGAGGCTCGACACCGGCCGCCGACTTCACTTCGTCGGTCAACTCCTCGAAGGCCTCGTCGTAGTCGGCTTCGCTGAAGTTGGCTTCGACGAGGTCAGCTTCATCGAGGTCGGCCAACTAAGCCTGCTGACTTGCTCCTCCAAGTCGACGCCGTCCTCGAAGCCTCGCCAGGTGCGCATTTTGCACGCTAAACTAAGAAGCTGGCTTCGGCCAAGCGAGGGCGGGGCCTTTTCTCGTCAACAAGGAAACAACTAGGCGTAGTAGGGGGTGGGCCAGCCTAGGGCAGGATGAGCGGAGCGGAAGCGGGAGTCTCAACCTACTCAATACCATGTCAAAACGAGAATGTTAACTGAATGAGGGAGATGGATACAAATAGCCAACCCTAGCCTAGGCTACCAAATGCAACAGCCTAGTGTAACATACATTTGACACTCTCCTGAAATAAGGCTCCAAGCACGCAAGCCATTATAGGCAGATAGTATGAGTGTGTCTTTGCTGGGGGTGTCCTCCCGTTTCTGGGCTACTAGGTTGGGCATTCTAAGAGAGAAGACTCTCCGATAACAACTCTCTTGTAACGCCCGGATAACCAATTCTCCCGTTGATCTCTAGGCTGATAGCATTGCTTGGCAGGCGTGCAATAAAGGGGGCGCAACTAGCACTCATCCAACCGATCAATCATGGTGTGACAGGGTTTAGGGACTGCAGCTAGTGCATCCAGCCCTAGGAAAATCCCCCTCAAAAGCTTCAGATAAATTCTCAAGCACTTTATGCTCACAGCATATTGCATACATTTCTTCCATATCAATTACATCTTCACCTAGCAAACCATGCTAGAGTCCCACTGCTGCACCCTTGCCTGTACAATCAGCCTTTTCCCCTTTTCAAAATTCATTTAACCTCTCCCTACTTCTCCTTAAGCTTTGGTAGCAACGGTCTGAACCTGAAACTGTCCCATGGCTGCTCCCGCCTGGAAAGCCGCCGTGCCGAACCCCGTGCAGTACCCTGCCGGGCCCGCCACAATGGAATCCACCAGCTGCTTGTAAGTGTCCCCTTGGAACGTGGTCAGCGTACTCGCTTTAAGCCACGTTCCGTTTAAGGCGTAGGTGTATGTGGAAGGGGAAGCGGGTGCGTCGCCCAGGCTCTTCCTGCTCTGGTTTGGTGTGGGCGAACTAGTAAGATCCTCCCACGGGCCGTCGGTCCCTGGGGGGGAGAAAAAGACGGCGACAAGTCTCTCCTGTCCCACGTCCTTCGCAATGCCGGCGAAGGTCGGCTCGCCCGCGTCGGCTTTGGAGGCAACGACGCTGTAAAAGATGTTGTAGTCGCCGTTCAACCTGACGGATTCAGTCAGGGTTCGCCAGTTGGGAACGAGAGGAGTGAGAGTCGCATCATTTGAAGAGGGGGAGCTGAAAAAAGGGAGGAAGTAGGCAAGGCTCACGGAGATTGCGTGGAGACTTACCCGTAGACGGCGAGGCAGACTTGGCCGCTGGCGTTGACGTCGCCCGTCCACCCGCCGAAGGATCCGCTCACCGGCGTGGAGAGAATCGCTGCGCGGAGAGAAGGGGAGGGGGGGAGGGGGGGGGGGGGGGGGAGAGGGGGGGCGGAGCGATGCGAAGTGGGAAGGAGATTGGAGGGAAGGGTGGGTAACTTTGGATGAACCTTATCGGCGGCCGTTTCTACTAGCGGTGATATCATGAGGCGAGGCTTGCAATGGCGTCGTTCCTTTGGAAGGATGCCGCTAAGGACGAACAGCCCCACCCGGTTACGGGAATTACGAGAGTGTCAGATCCTCAGCAGTACCTACTACCAGAGTGAGCATTCTCACATGTTCTCCTGAGCCTCTTACCAGTCAGAGTCCCGAGAGCTTCAGCCTGGTCGGGCTTGGGCAACGGGCACGGGCTATCCTTCGGGGCTTGCGCCGTCGTGGTCGCTGCGCAGCAGACGTCGTTGTAGAGTATTAGAATTGTGAATAGCATCATATCTTCTTGATTCTGGGATTGAACGGATGATAGATCAAGCGGTTGTTAGTTGAAATGCGAGGCTCACTTACCGACGCTTGCGGTGACGACCAAGAGGCAAATCGCCAAGCCGGCGTAGCGCTGGAGACCCATCGTAGACTGAAATTCGGAGGTGAACCGAGAGTTCTCGAGAGAGGAGTGATGAAATTTGGATCTGGCTGCTACTCGATAAGTGGCGAACAAAGTGAATGCTTGGTTTTTCCAATGACCACTGCAGTGCTATTTATGGGCCGCGACGAGGTGCGCCACGGTGTGTGGAATGGTGGTCACATTCGAGAAGGTTACGATGGTTTCAGAACGGTTCCTTAAAATTTAACATCGGTTGATTTTTTTTCCGCCCTGGTGAAATCATGTTTCCTCGGGATTACTCACTCCTTCAACACATTCGCGCTGCGGGAAACCTGGTTAATGCACTTCCAACATTCAGATAGTCGCTGCCGACGCGACGGTCAGGTAAATGCTGCCGACTTCAGATAGACGGATTTGGCGGGTTACCTGGCGGGAAATGAAGCACACCACCGCCGGTCGACCCTTGCTCGTCTGACGTTTTGAGGGGTAAGGTAAGGTCGCGGGAAAAAATACGTTGTAGACTGTACTGTACGAAATTTATGTTGGCAAAACCACAAGCTCCCAGCTGCAGTTCGACCATCTGAATACAGATCCGGGATCTACTCATCAAGAGCTTGTTTATGACGCCAACATTGTGTTCACAGAGCGAACATCGGTTAGTCGTAACTGCTTCTATGAAGATCTCTGTTTTTCAGGTTAAGAAACTGTTTTTAAGCTCAAGACATTCAAGTTACTCTAAGGAAGTTAAAATGGTCGGGTCAAACCGTCGCTTAAGATGGCACCGTGAAAACAAGACAGGTTCAAGACAAAGAAGCGGAAAGTGCAAGTACAAGGAGGCTGGACAACGGAACATATTTCGTTTATCTGCCTTTGCTGCGATTCATCGTCTACCAAAGAGAGAGGAAGCTCATAGTCAAGTGCGGAGACCACCTCAATCACTAGCAGGAACGATCAAGGATGGACCAGAGCCAATTTTCCA